CATGGATCCCAAAGGGAAAAAAAGGAAGATAGCTGATGAGAGAAGAGGATTCAAAGAATGGATCAAATCACTTGCTTTCATTATCGATGCAGAAGGATTGCCTGGATTTAAGCTTTGTAATGAGAGGTTGTCAAAAAATAAAAAGACAAATTTGGAAAGACATTTACAGGGAAGGCAAGCTAAATATGCTACCAACCATCAAGCTGGGAGGGAGAGAAATAGTGCGATTGCAAAACTTCAGGATAAATTAGAGGAACGCAAAGATAGATTTAAGAAGTGGATTGCATCTCCAAACTCCACTACTGCTGCTAGTTTTGTTGCAAGGATGGAAAACTGTCCACAGATCAAACAGGTAGCTCTCTGATGCATCGATGGGAACTTTCTTCCATTTTTTGCCCAAATCCTAAAAATATTAAATCACACTAAGGAACGCTGGTGATGGAGGATGTGGGATTTAATGGTTAGAGCGCACTGCTCTGATGGATGTCAGTTCCTGCTTGGTTCCTAATGACTTAATCAACTCCTCCCAAAAGAAACACGTCCACCATAGAAAGATTCCTTTATTGTGTTTCTATAATTACATCAATGCAAAAAAATTTAACTGTGTGGTAAAATTCCACGCAGTGAGAGCGTTTACTGCTCCTGCCTCACCTCATGCTACTATGTGACATTTCCTCCAGGATAAACATTTAATCATGAATGCTTATTATATATTTAAGCCCACATAGTCCTTTACTTTAGTGGGATAATACAGTTAGACCCTTTGTTGCCATATGAGGCATATATAAGACTTTTACATTTTTGCAGCTCCAGACACATTTATTTTTTGGAGTTTGGGTTGCTGACCCCTGCACTAGGCTGACACCCCTTCATAATAAAGCTCAACATCAAGCCACCAGTTGGTGACCCAATACAACTTCCCCGACCGGGAATCGAACCTGGGCCGCAGCAGTGAGAGCGCTGTATCCTGACAACTAGACAATCAGGGACGTGCTTTATAAGATGACAGTTTAACCAAATCAACGTATATTACTCCTGCTTCCCACTAACTAATTGTTAAGCACCATTTCAAATTTCTGCCTGTCTTACTGAAAGCTGGTCACAGTTACCATTATATCACAGTACCATTACACCGATATAATAATAAAAGCATTTTGTAATCATTTATTTTGTGAAAAGAAAAAAAGCATGAAATCCAAACCAGTCTGATCCCAAGTGAAAAAGTAAGACTGTTTGCTCACCCTCGGCAACAGCATCTGTCATCAAACATTTATGATGGCCGATAATGGGCCTCTTATTTCACTGTTGTGGAAATTCTTCCTATTCTTTTTTTTTTTGCAGAAATGTTATGATTTAGATGCATCAGCCTGTTTCTAGATTAAACGGCCATTTGAAGCACATATTTTGGATTTATACCCAGGCTTGGACTAGGCCATTTCAAAACCTTAATTACATTTTTTTTTTACCATTCAGATGTGAGGTTGTTTCTGTGCTTTGGTTCATTCCAGAACAGTCATAAATAAATTGTTAGACCTTTTGCATCAGAATTATCTCATAAGGAGAGTATTCCCTGATTCCATTGAATTCAACCAGTTGATCTAGATCAACTGGCTTAAAAACAAGTTTTACTACAGTCCACAGGAAATGTTCCCAAAATGTCACTAGCTCTTTTTTTCCCCCCACAAATGCTGGATGGGTCCTTGTGTTCTTTCTGCGCAGTTGTGGTGTTTTCCAATGGACGTTCTCACGGAGGCTGTTTCTTCAGAGTCTCTTTCTAATGGTTTTACCATAACCACTGTGCTTGATCGAGGGGAGTGAGGTCTGGAAGGCTTTAGATGTTCTGGGTTCAGTGGTCTTGGAGTAATTTTGGTCATTCACACCCTGGTTCACCACTGTCCCATATTTCCTCCATTACAGTTCTCACTGTGGCTCAATGAAGTCAGAAAGCTTTAGAAATGGATGGGTTTCCTTTTCCAAACTGACGGTGACTTTATTTTTCTTATATGTTTTTAGATATGTTTAGATGTAGATATGCTGTATGAGATATTTTATTACACTTTCCTTTTGGTAAATGATATAGTTATTTTAAATACTGTTTAATATTGCAGGTTTTCTCCTCCCCCCCAAAAATCTAATTTGATTTGACCTTAATAAATGCAACCTGACAATGGAGATGTTTGGAATTATTACTTTTTTCTTTCTGCAATCCTGATTTTAATGTTACAATGTGGGTTTAAGTCAGATGTCCGGTTAGGGCAGTGTTTTAAAGAGGCTGAATATTCCAGTGATTGCATGGCCATTATTCTGTCAAAGTCCTCTTTACTAGTCTCTGCTTGTGTTTATTTCTTCATTCACTGAGTCACTCTAGTGAGCAGG